TTTGGTGATTCACCAAAATCGGACTCTTTTGCCTCAGGATTATCAGCAGCATCCAGGCAGTACATCTAAATATTGGCAGGTACAAAAGAAAAATGGCTCCTTTCATTTCGACAGATTAAGCACCACTTCATCTTCTCCCTAGTTTCTTCCTCGTGGATGAAAAGTCTGTGGGAAGTCTACATTTATTTCAGCATTTAAAATATTAGGCAATTTCCCCCACATTCAAAGATTCTGTTTTCCAACACTATCACCCAACAGTTGAAAAAAAATAAATCACAGGATGTTTCCAGATTCTCCCATTGTTCAAGTAGCCAGAATGTTGCTTCTGTTGGCTACCTTCTCTGTGCTGGGATTCAAAATATCTTTGGGAAGCACTTGGAGCTAGCAGAGCAGCTCCTCAAGGTAACGTTTCCTAACCTAGGTGATCTGTTCCAGGCCTTTGGGGGAGGGGGGTGTCTCAAGCTGGTTGCCTGGGGCAGGTGGGAGGGTGACCAGCACACACCCAACTCTCTTCAGGCTATGTCTGCCATATAACTAAACCTCTCTCTCTCTCTCACACACACACACACACACACACACACACACACACACACACCAGCCTGCCAGGTCTCTCTTCCCTCTCTGAAAGGACTGTGCCTCAGCGGCACACAGAGCAAGGGCTTTGCCAGCAGCAGCCCAGAGATAGGAAACCATTGCCTTGCAAGAGGAGAGGAGAGGCTAGCTCCGCTTCCAGTTTGGCTAGTTCGGCTCTGAAGTGGAACTGCCCTCCCGGAAAATTATCCTGAGCACCCCAGTCTTCTACAAACATTTCCACGCCAGCTTGACTTCAATAATATTGATTTTCAATTATGCTTCCGCCGAATGGAAGCCAAGTCATTGTTTTTCAAGGCACTGACCCAGGTTTGTAGCGGGACAAATTTCAGTGCTGAATTCAATACTGCATGAAAAACAAAGGGAGCCTTTTGAGTCCCTTTGCTGGTCCAGATATGGGAAAAAATCTATCATTTTCAAACTGCTCCTCTTCAGAGATCTGCCTTGACACAAAAAACGCAGAGCCGACATTCCTATGCTATGGATTTCAGAGCTCACAGGCACCATTGGCCCCCTGATTTATTTTCTCTGATCTTTCCACTTAAAAGCTGAATTTCGGTGAGTTCTTAATCGCAATTTTAGCCTGTGAGACTTTTTTTTCTTTAAATAACAGATTTTTTTTCTTTTTAATAATGGATGTTATTAAAACAACAGTGAAATTATTATTAATGTGTAAGAAAATTTCAGGGAAACAACATGAGTCTTCGGAGAAAGGCGGCATACAAGTTGAACAAATAAATAAATAAAATTGAACAAATAAAGAGACAGAAAATAAATCCTCCAAACAGGAAAAATCCTGAAAATAATCAACCCATTTTCAAGGAAACATGAATTGAAATTGATCATGTGTACATCAATAACGAACGAGGTATTTTATTTCCACAAACACCAACACGCCTCTCTTCCTGCGTGCCCTGTGCGTTATCCAAACAACAGGCAGGACAATCTCTTTTTCAGCCTGCCTCGTCTCTTCTTTCACCCTGAATGTTTCACAACTGGGGGCCCTTTTCCAGCTGCTACAGATGCCCACTACACAATCCCGTCTCCGTACTCCCTACAGCAGTAGCAGGAGATGGCGCAGCAGCAGATGCCTCTCCTGCAAGAGGCGACAGCCTGAGCCGGCCGTGCTGCCCTTCCAGAAGAGAAGGGCCTCGCCAGAGCTCCTGGCTGGGCTCCAGACCCTTCCAGTCTGAAGCACAATGCAGAGAAAGGTGGAGACGCCGCGGTGGGTGAACACAAGGGGGCCTGCTGCTGCTGCTGCTGCTGCTGCTGCCGTGACACGCCTCTTGCCAAGGTTACGAATCTGCCCAGGATACGGAGATGGCTTTCTTCCCTTTCTTCCTCCTACCCCTTTCTAGACTCCACAAATATCTGACCCATTTTAACAAGGCATAATTTTCAGCCGAAGCTTCCATCTGCTTAATTATTTGCCTCAGCTATCAAAATATCAAATGTGACATTTCAAGGCTTAATATAATTAAAAAGGCTCTTGCTATTTCTGTTTGCCAGAGTTTTGCCTTCTTCTGATGGTTTCTGATGTGGAGGAGTGCAAGGAGGCAGACGGTGCGAGAAACGGCCCCTTTTGTGTTGCTGTCGGAGGGCGCAGAAGTTGGAGTAAAGAAGTAGAGCAGGCGAGAAATTCTCTTCAAGGTCCTGACCAAGCCAGAGGCTTTATACTCCCGCAAAGAACCAGACAGGGTGATTTCCAAAGCACTCACCAAATACAAGAAGCTTCCTCCGTGACACCAGCTAATAGCACTTAAGTCAATTAGGTTATTCCACTCTGCCATGTGTGGATTTGCTGCCTCCATTCCTGTGACAGCAATTACATTTTCTCCATCAGACATTACAAATGGTACTTAAAAAGGATTATGCTCAAAATTACATTCTACAAGAAAACCCAAATATAAAAACATCTGAGTTGATTTAGTCACAGAGAACAAGATTTCTTAGAAACAACTGAAAAATAGAGAGATGCTTTGTCTTGCTGGAGAAAAGAAAAATAATTTAACAACTAGAAAAATCCACAAACACTTACACCTCTATAGTGTTTTGCCCAGAATCAAAGCTCATAGCCATTTATTTGGCAGCTCCATCAAAATTCAACGAGCTGCTTTGTTTTTAAATGCAACTTTTTATGGCCCTTTTGTTTTGAAATGTGCCTATAAAAGAAGGAAACCAATTAAGAATGCAGGATAGAAGAAATTCTTCATTTCTTAGAAAAGGAAAGATGGCAGAAAAGCATCAGAAAGACGGCCGGCTTTGATCTAAACCTGAAACCGCTGCAGTTATTACAAATTCTCTTGTCATTGTTGAGTTTTCTTTTCATTCTGCACTTTGACAAAAAGGGATTTTGAGAGATTATTAATCTTAATTTAAAAAAAAAAAAACCTGGAATATCAGCTCCTTGAACCCAGTACCACCAACAACACAGAGCTGGAACATGACAATGACTAAAAGAATCTTCCTCCCATATGGATGAAGCTGTCTGGGGCGCACCTGAAAGCAGCCACAACAGCAGGAGCCCCTGAAAGCGATCCACCTGAGCAGAATGCCAAATCTCTAGTCACGCAAAGGATCCATTTTTCTTTCTGTAAAACCTCCCTCACTGGACCAAATTCCACCCCAAACTATCTTAACCTGGATCAAGTGAGATCAAATCCCCAACTGCCCTTCCTAAAAAGTCCTCTCAGATTCCAAATTTAAGCCTATATGACCCAACCTTTACAGAGCCAATTTGGTGCTGTGGTAAAGCCACCAGATGAGAAACTAGGAGACCCCAAATTCTAGACCTGCCTCAGGTCACTCTTTCTGGGTGACCTTGGGCCAGGCATTTTCTCTTAGCCCTAGGAAGGAAGCAATGGCACCCACTTCTGAAAAACCTTGGTTAAGACGACTGCAAGGGTTTGTCCAGGCAATCTCAGAAAACTGGACACAACTGAACAGATGAGAAAAGAAAAAAACCCTGTGCCCCTCCACACACACACACACACAATAAACACCCATCCTCCCAAAAATCAGTATGTGTTTTCTCGGAGCAAAATCTGAACCTACTTTTTAAAATGAAGGGCTCTCATCCAAAATATTTGCAGTTGCATTTGCAACATTTCAGCCCGAAGGAGACTTCCTTTGCCTGAAGCCGTTAGAATAAAAGAACTATCCCAGGTCCAGAGCAGCCTTGTGCCCTTCCAGTCCACCCTGAAATCAGGGCAAAGCAAGCCCCGCGCAGCCCCTCTGCGACTTCTAGGCTGGTGCCCCAAGCAAAGCGCGCCGAGCCAAAGGATCGGGCCCCACTGCAGAGCACAGGAAGGTCAATTCTTGATCCACGCACAGTCAACGGCAAGGCTAGAAAGAGCTCATGGATTTGGGACTGGAGGAACCACCGGCGGGTCGGCGAGCCTTTCTCAGCAGCATGTGGACCGCATGGAGTCCGTGGCTTAAGGCAGGGAAACCCACCTTTGCGGGGAAAGCCCCCCTCCCGCCGCCCGAGGGGCAAAGGCCGGGGCCGCCATCGCCTTCCGCACAGCCTGAGAAAGGAGAACCGGCCCTGCAGGCCCGCCAGCCACGAAGAAAAACACTTCCACAGGCACTTTGAGTTTGGACAAGGGAGAGGCCCTCCGTCACTCCCACCCCGCTTGGCTGGAGGCATTTGAGGTGCCCGACCCCGCAGAACGCCAAGGCGGCCCGGGCTCTCCTTCGCCGAGGGCTCGGCGGCTCCGCAATTTCCCGGCCGGCGGTCCGCGCCCGGCCCTGGCAGGAGGCTCCGTCGCAGAGTTGGGAACAGGCTGGCATTCGCCCACCCTCCGAACTCGGCTACACAATGAACTTGCGCCGGAGGAACCCCGAGCAGCCGCGCGGATTAAGAGACCCGGAGCAAAACGGGGAGGCTGCGGAGGTTTTAATTAAGTCGCCCGGACAGCCCCGACTTTCCCGGTCACTTTTCCCCCGGCATACGGCTCGCCTTCGGCCGACCCTACGAAGACTTCTACCTCGCTACTTTCTCCGTCGGAGAAAGGGGGGTCGGGACAGACCGGCACAGGCCCCCCTTATAGGCTGGGCTACTCCGTCACCCCCGCCGCCGTAAGAAGGGACGGCGGCCCGGCGCAGTCCTTCAGGATTTGCCGGCGCGGAGCACTCCGCCCGGCCGCGCCGCCAAACTCCGCTCCGCGCACCGGCCGGCTCTGCGCTCCCCGTCAAGGGCGCGCGGGTGGTCCCAGCCCTGGCCGGTGCGGCGCCCGTCTTCCCAGCGCACCACACCGGCCGGGACACAGCCGGGAGACCGGCGGAGCCCGAACCTGCCCGTGCCAGAAACGTCCCGCTAGCCGACGCCCGCCGCGCGCTCCCGCCCGCCCCGGGGACCACAACTCGGGCGCCCTGCCCGCCCCGACCCCCCCCGCGGCCTGGCTCACCGATGCGGATGACATGGGGCATGCCGCGGCAGGCGTGCAGCCAAAGGATTCCGAGCAGGGCGGCGGCGGCGGCGGCGGAGGCGCAGGAGCGGGCCAGCAGCGGGCGCGGGGCAAGGCAGCAGGTCAGCATCCTGGGCAGGAGGCGGGCGAGGCGCGGCCGAGCGTGCCCGGCTCAGGCTCCGGCTCCGGCTGGACCTCCGGCGAGGATGGGGCGCCCGGCGGCTGGGCGCGGCGGCAGAGGCGCGTCCGACTCGGGGCTGGCTGCGCCCGACGCAGCGGGGAGCATCGTAGTGGCTCCGGCGCGGGATGCGAAGAGGACGGAGCAACCGGAACGCCGCCGCCGCCCCGCCTGCCCTGCCACGCCCGGCTCGGCTTCCCTGTCCGCGGCGCCTCAGGCACCCGCGCTCGCGATCTCCCGGGACGGCGAGGCTGCGCGGGGCCGCTCAGCGGAGGAAGGCGTCCGCCTGGCGGGAGAGGCTCGGCCGAAAGGTGCAGGGGCTGGAGCCGCAGAGCCAGGCACGCCTTCCGCCCGGGAAGTCCTGCCCCTTCATCCCCGAAGGCCGGCGCGCGGAGAGGGGGGCCGGCGGGAGGGACAAAGTACTTTGCACATGCTCCACGGTCGCCGCTATTCTTTATCCGAGCCTTCTAGGGGGCGGCGGGCGGGCTGCCCCCCGAAGAAGCGGCCGGAGCGTCCCACTCGAGAAAATGCCCCAACTCGGGAAGACGGACTTCCGGGCGCAACGTGCGCACGTGACTCGAGGAGGAACCAAGGGGAGCCGGGTCTCTGAGCACGTGCAGAGCGTCTTCCCTTCTGCCAGAGTGGCGGCCTCCCAGGGGGCGAGAGCGGCCGGAGATCGGCGAGCGGACAACCCGAGGATTCCCTGCGCTGGGGAGGCTACGGGCTCGGCTCGGAGCGTCCCGTTTCCAGGAAGCCGGGCGGAGGGGGGCAGTTAGGGGCCGGGCTCAGGTGGGCGGCGGCCAGGAAGGGGGGTCGCCGCCCCAGCTGCTCCGGCGAGGTAGCCGCGCTCCCGGGAGTGGAGGAGGCGGCGGCGGCGGCGGCAGAAGTCGGGGGGGGGGGACCAGCAGCGGTTGCCGGGGGAGAAGGTGGTCTGAAGAAGAGCCGAGCCGGCCTGCGTGTCTTTGCCGTCCTTGGCTTCTTGCCGTCGTTTTTTGCGTTTGGTTGTGTTCGAGCGGGCGTCGTCGGAAGTCCAAAGTGCTGCCCGCTCGATTTTCCCCTTAAGGTGGGCCGTGCGGGGAGGAAAAGGGAACCCTCGCCTTCTCCCTGCTCCCAGTCCGGGACCTGCATCACACCCCAAACTGGTCCTCGGGCACGGCTGGAAAGGGGCCCATACCTAGAGCAACCTCGAGGGCTGGTTGGGCTTTGCTCCGTGGCTAGCAAAAGCTGCTGGCCAAGGAGAGGGCTGGATGACCTCTAGGCTTCACTGCCCTCCCTGGCATCACCTCCCAGGGGAAGGCCAGCCAATCTATAAATGCAGAGGGGGGGAGCTAGAATAGCAGATTTAGTACCTGTAGGATGCCCATCCTACAGGTGACAGGGGCTGCAAAGTGTGCGGGAAGTAGGAGTGGCCCTTTTCCCAATGTCCAAAGACACGGCCTGTCTTCCACCACCCGGGCCGGGTAATTTCTGAGCAGAGCTGGAGTAATTTTCTGAAAGAGCGCTAACCTGAATGTAAAAATATTTTGGTGGACAGGTACAATAGGTGAAGGAGATCACCAGGTGAAATGGATGGCAAGTGAGCTTCATCCCCAAATAATGCTGCAAAACGGGTGGCCAAATCTGCCCAGGAGAAATGGGTGTGCTGCAGCACACTTCCATAGGTGTACAACAACGATTGACTGAATGCAGCTGGCCTCACCAAGCACTTTCTGGCAAGGGGTTACTGAGCTACCCTCTTTCCCTGGACAATAGTTATTGTAGGAAGCTAGTCCAGAGGCTGTGCTGATAAATAGGACGACACTTAGCAATTCTCTGTGTGTCCTGGGAAATTATAGTAAAATATAAGGAAATAAAAAACAGCAACATGAGATTTCTGCGAACTGAAGCTGTGGAAAATGAGAGAAGTATCAACACACACACACGTAGAATGCTGCTGTCTTCCCTTTCCAAGAGAGTGCCCAGCCCCAGGCCGAGAGGAGCTGGCTGTCTGGTATCTATTGCAGCCATAGCAGCCCCAGAGAAGGGGATCTGTAGCAGACTCAGGGGACCGAATGGGCTAGGAAAATCAAGCATCAACTTTGAAAGGATGGCATTAGACTCCCTCCATGGTCATGGGTTGGGGATGAGACAAGACAATGTCATGAAGAGAGAGCAGGAAAAACGGGTCAGAATCTTGCCTTGGGGAACCACAAAAAGAGCCTTCTAGATTTGAATTCCCCCAAAGATGTGGCCCTTCTCCCACCCACCCTAACTTCTTGCCCTAACACTCTCCTCCTATCTGGACTAAGACCATTTCTAAAAGAAGCTAAGAAATTGGGGGTGTCAAACTGTCAGTGACTCTGGGTAGCTGACAAAAATAAAAAAATAACCCTCCATCCCTGTGTTGACAACTATCAAATAAGCCACTTAATAGCTCCATCCCACTCGGGTCCCCAGGTCCTTTGGCAAAACCAGGTCTTTATGGCCGTGTGAAAGTGTCAAAGTGAGGGCCAATCTTATTTCCATGGAAATGATGTTCCACAGGGAGGGAGAAGGCTCTTCTTGGTCCCACTCAATGGACCACTTTAGGACAAGGGTCCTGTAACATTTCCTGCCTCCTCACTCTGGATGTGAGTCGGGGAGTTTTGACCAGAGAAAGGCAGTCCTTCAAACAACCTGGCCCCAACCCATGTAGGGTTTTACAGGTGACAACTAGCTTCTTGAATTGGACCTGAAAGCAAATCGCCAGCCAATGCAGCTCCCACAGGAGAGGCGATGTGTGTACATCTAGGCCAGCACAAAAGCAGGCAGGCCATCACATTTTGAATCAATTGAAGCATCTAGGTACCTTTCAAGGGCAGCCCCAGGTAGAGCATCTTGCAATAATCAAGACGGGGTGACTAAGGCATGACTGACTGAGCAGGGATTTAAAATTCGAAGATGAAATAGCAAGAAAACTCTTGAAAGCAGAATTCATAAATAACCCAATGCCTGCCACAAAATGTTTTTGGCCTCAAAATCGGTGTCATTCAGTGAAATCACGTGCAAAAATCAACTTCTTGCTCTGTGGTAAGAACTAGTTGGGCGATACTCATATTTATTTACTTAAACTTATATCCCTCATTCCTCCCAGAGCTTAAGGCAGCCTGTATAGCACCTCCTCCTCCATTTTTCCCCCTTTGGATTGAGGGAGAAATGGAAACGTCATTTGGAACTGGATCGCTCCATGTTAGTGCAGCAGCAACTTCATTGTGAAATGTGACTATTGTTTTATTTTTAAACAGTTACAGTAAATCTGATGGGCCATATGTCATTCTGACAAAAGGTGGATTGAGCTCCTTTGCAGATTCCTAGGTTGGGATGAGAAGGGTACTGATTCTTGAGAATCTCTTCCAGGACATACCTAGTGGGGGAGCCAGTCATTTGGGGTGGGGGGGGGGCTGTACTCACTGCCAAATATACTCATCCTCCCCTGTTTGCAACATGAAGCAAACAGCCAACCAGCCAGATTGGACCCTCCGGCTCTCTACGACTCTTGCTAGGGAACAACAGCCCAACCCAGTTGAGGGCCCAAACTCTCAGCATTTGTGTTTGGTTTCTATGTTCCTGATTCAGAGGTTGCTAATGCTCCTTTCCTATTGCTTAAATTACTATATGGTCTCACAACTGTGAGCAAAAAGTGCAGATTTATAGAGACTCGGGCCTATTAATTTAAGGCCAGTCTTTTTCAAGTACAAAAGGAAACTGCTTACAAGACAGGGCAAATGTTGAAACATTTTTATTAATCTCAAGGGAGAAAGGGATGGGTGGGGAATTGCTGAGGGGACAAAGTATCCAAAGTCCAAGTCCAAACGGAGTTTGAAGGATGCCCTGCCCAGAAAGAGATTGAACTAAGCAGGTTTTGCCTAGGGGCGGGTCGGTTTTTAACACTAATGAAGATGAAAGAAGGGCTTTTGATGATAAAGAGGAACATGGATAAAATAGTCCTGGGTTAAATTAGCCACAGCTGCCTGCATATTCTTTAAATTTATATGCACATGGTATAACACAAGCACAAACTCCGTGAGTTACGAGGCCCTGCGCACATATTACCAAGCTTCCAAAATGCCACCAGAAATGTGCCTGGAATTTGGCAGGACCAGATTTCGCAGTCTGGAGTGCCCTCTGCTGAAATGCTCCAAGTTCCCAGGCATGCTGGAAGCCGCTCGATGGGCCTTTTGACAGTCGGGGATTTATTTCCTCCCCAAGCAGGCAGATCTCACCATCACCCATGTCACTCATGGGTGTACGAGGCTCTTGGGACCACCCTTCCAGAATGACCCAAAGTCATTGGGTCAAGGCAGGAATGATGTTGCATGTGTGAAGCCCAACAAAGGGCTTCCCTGCAAAAAGCTTCAGGCGCGCAGGACAAAGGCTTCTGTCTGATTGATCAAGGCCTGGAAGGAAAGCCGGATCTTCTGTTTTCCCCAACACGCACACTGCCAGTTGGAAGTGTGTTGGCCTTTCTTCACTATGACACAACTACCACTTGCAGTATAGGCACTCTGTACCCTCCACTTCCCCATAGCTTTGACTTCTTCCCATAGGGTGCTCATGCCCTGTTTACTGTGACACAAAGATGCCTCGCTAAGCATTTGGGGGAGGGGGTTATGTCTTCATGATGTTTATTATTTATTATTTATTTTAGATCCTGCCTTTATTATCTTTATCAACATCTCAAGGCAGCAAATATATTTCTTTTCTTCTCCTATTTTCCCCACAACAAACCTGTGAGGTGGGTTGTGCTACCAAAGTCACCCAGCTGTCTTTCACAGCTAAGGTGGGACTGGAACTCACTGTCTCCTGTTTCTAGCCTGGTGCCTTCATCCCGAGACCAAACTGGCTCTCACTGACATTGCCTTCATCTCATCCTCACAGCCTAGAACCATCTCTGTGTGCTCCAGGGCAAAAGTGTTGTCTCCCTTCTCCTGTCAGAAAGAGGGTGGTCTAGGATGCTGCAGGGACGAGGCTGAGAAGCACAATGAGGGCTGGGATGTGATCAGACTCAACTATGGTTGCATAAATCTGCCACAAGCACACCTCTTCCTGGCAGACTCAGAAATGGTTTGCCTTCAGAATTTATGGGTACTCCATCACTGGAGGTGTTGAAGAGAAGATTGGACAGTCACTTTTCTGGAATGGTGTAGGGTTTCCTGCTTGGGTATGCTGAAGGACCTCCAGAGTCTCTTCCAACTCTATTATTCCGTTC